CCACAAGGAGATTCAAAAGCTGATTGTATAGTAATCCGGATTCCGAAATCCCTCAGGGAGGGAGGAGTTGGGAAAAGAAAATGCTTACGACCGTGTTTAACGCGCTAGCTGGCTAGAATCGCACATTATGACTCACACCTGGCTACAGCCAGCATTTATACATGGGTTTTGCGCTGAACCTCTGTCACATGTATTTAATCCTGACAAACAGGTTTACCACTCACGGATTAGCGCAATGACATTTCAAACATTGTCAGTGAACACTCTATGTTCGTTTTTCCGACCGAGGACAGGTCATCCTATCTAGTTTGCTTCCTGATAAAGGTCAATGTAGACTACGAGTTCTCTCCCCGCCGCGTGTCGCCTTTTCTCGCGTGGGGTGATTTTCACGCGCGCTCGCGTTTCAATCGCCCTACTATCCCTGAGGAAAAATGGGGGACTACTCGTAGTCTAGGTCAATGAGCTTACCTAGAAAAATAGACATGAAGTATAAAGTGACATCATGAAACGACCACGACCGCGATTTTATCTTGTGATACACTATTGACTTCCGACAAAAGACGACAGAGCGGAAAATACTGAGAAAAATGAAGTTTCCCGGGAAGGATCCCGAAAATTCCAAACAAAGGGGTGGAGGACATAAATGTCTACACCGTATTTTGAAGGGTTTCTCGCCTTTGATAATTGGCTACTATCATATAAGATTGTTTAAGGGTTGATAGGTGAATTTGATCACGTCTCTTCTTAGGACTAAGACCTCGTAGCACAAGTGGAAACATTTTCAGCCTTATAAATCGCCTCAAGTGCACTGAGAGCGTTGCGGTAACATGACGAAATGACAACTTTCGGTTTGAAGAATTCAGAGAACCAAATAATAGAATTTGTCTCTTCTCTTCTCTCTGCCGCAATATTTGTACCGGTATGCTCGGAAGCATGGATCAAGAAGCCAAAAAGAGGAGGAAAAAGGTAATATTTTCCTGGACTTAATTTCTTTAAGTCTTGTAAAGATGAAGTCCTTTGAGGACATAACCTATTCCATTAGAGCTGACACCATCTGGGTCCCCTTTAGTATTACATACATCATAAACTAGTTCCTGCTTTGCAGCTCCAAAAGAGAAACAAACTCATCCACGAAATCGAGTTTCCTGAGTGGAATTCTAATGCACTTCGGTAAGGCGGACAAGGACGTGGGTAGGCCGAAGGTCAGAGGGATATCCCTGAAATTTACTATTGGGTTGTACATCTGATTCTTTGAGACTTCGAACCTGTTCCACTTATCACGTCCATTTATTAGAGTGATTAGTTTCGTTTACGTCACGTTGCCATGGTAGCAAAATTTTTGGATGACAACAAACCGATAAAGTCACTTAAAAGTCTATTCGCACAATTTCAAACTTCAGCGATCTTATCCAATTTCATTTAATTTGGCAAATCTTGGCGAAATTGTCTTTGAGACCGTATTTATCGTTATCTAAGTTTAGAAAAAGAAAGCCATAATTTTTATGTTGTGTTCACCTACTCCATAAAGCGGGCTGTTTCATGTCGTAGTGGTGCAACGACGGCAAAGAAGTGTACAAAAAAGCGTGATGCACGTGCAAAGTTGTTATTTGTTAATATAACAAATTATTTTTCGCCGTTCTCCTTGCCGTCGCGGTCTTCGTTGGTTTTGTTGTCATCCAGAAGTAGTGCTACCATAGTAACGTGACGTCACACTTCTCCTCCATTATTTAAATAAAAATCCGAGGCTATTAAATATCCTTTTCACTCAAAAGCCGTTTTCAGACAGATGATAAATAAAACCCAGCTTACACATCTTTCCACTTAATTTTCGATTTTCTTAATAATAATGTTGACGTGTATANCATCATGAAACGACCACGACCGCGATTTTATCTTGTGATACACTATTGACTTCCGACAAAAGACGACAGAGCGGAAAATACTGAGAAAAATGAAGTTTCCCGGGAAGGATCCCGAAAATTCCAAACAAAGGGGTGGAGGACATAAATGTCTACACCGTATTTTGAAGGGTTTCTCGCCTTTGATAATTGGCTACTATCATATAAGATTGTTTAAGGGTTGATAGGTGAATTTGATCACGTCTCTTCTTAGGACTAAGACCTCGTAGCACAAGTGGAAACATTTTCAGCCTTATAAATCGCCTCAAGTGCACTGAGAGCGTTGCGGTAACATGACGAAATGACAACTTTCGGTTTGAAGAATTCAGAGAACCAAATAATAGAATTTGTCTCTTCTCTTCTCTCTGCCGCAATATTTGTACCGGTATGCTCGGAAGCATGGATCAAGAAGCCAAAAAGAGGAGGAAAAAGGTAATATTTTCCTGGACTTAATTTCTTTAAGTCTTGTAAAGATGAAGTCCTTTGAGGACATAACCTATTCCATTAGAGCTGACACCATCTGGGTCCCCTTTAGTATTACATACATCATAAACTAGTTCCTGCTTTGCAGCTCCAAAAGAGAAACAAACTCATCCACGAAATCGAGTTTCCTGAGTGGAATTCTAATGCACTTCGGTAAGGCGGACAAGGACGTGGGTAGGCCGAAGGTCAGAGGGATATCCCTGAAATTTACTATTGGGTTGTACATCTGATTCTTTGAGACTTCGAACCTGTTCCACTTATCACGTCCATTTATTAGAGTGATTAGTTTCGTTTACGTCACGTTGCCATGGTAGCAAAATTTTTGGATGACAACAAACCGATAAAGTCACTTAAAAGTCTATTCGCACAATTTCAAACTTCAGCGATCTTATCCAATTTCATTTAATTTGGCAAATCTTGGCGAAATTGTCTTTGAGACCGTATTTATCGTTATCTAAGTTTAGAAAAAGAAAGCCATAATTTTTATGTTGTGTTCACCTACTCCATAAAGCGGGCTGTTTCATGTCGTAGTGGTGCAACGACGGCAAAGAAGTGTACAAAAAAGCGTGATGCACGTGCAAAGTTGTTATTTGTTAATATAACAAATTATTTTTCGCCGTTCTCCTTGCCGTCGCGGTCTTCGTTGGTTTTGTTGTCATCCAGAAGTAGTGCTACCATAGTAACGTGACGTCACACTTCTCCTCCATTATTTAAATAAAAATCCGAGGCTATTAAATATCCTTTTCACTCAAAAGCCGTTTTCAGACAGATGATAAATAAAACCCAGCTTACACATCTTTCCACTTAATTTTCGATTTTCTTAATAATAATGTTGACGTGTATAGTGTTGGTTAGCCTGCAGTGCAGGCGTTTTTTTCGCCCTCACACCTACCGTAAGGGTTACTATTTCTACTCTCCCCAATCTTCCTCCGTCATAAAATCAAAGATGGCGGCTTCATCGTAGCGATCCGATTAACAAGCTTTCGCCGACCCAAAATACGCCTGCACTGCAGGCTAAGTGTTGGTGTCCTCCTCTGTGAAATGTGCATCAGAGAACAACCAGTCCCAGAGAATCGTGAGAGACAAATACAATGTAGGGCGGATTACTGACTGTCACTGTCGAGGCTTTGTGCCTTGTGAGGCGATGTGTACGGAGAGAGCCTTGGGCGAGGCCAAATATGGACACGATTATTGAGGAACTGGAGATGCCATGAAAAGTGGAAAAAGTTGTTACAGAGTGCACGTCTTCGAAATTTCTCCCTTCGCACTTAAACATACAGATGACATGTATCATCCAGATCTGGGCAGGACTTCTGATTGATTGAAGCAAATATCCGGCACGACCAATCAGAAGCACATCTGGTTAGTGACGCGTCATCAGTATGGGATTTCTGCGCACGTTTTTCAGACGTCATTTCGCGGGGAAACTAGTGGTGGCGTCTCGAAACGTTAGCCTGAGTATCAGGCGTTTCTAGGGGAAAAGGGGAAAGATGGAAGCAAAAAAGGGAGAGAGCTGAAGGAGAGAAACCCCTGACACAGATGCTTTTACTGGAGCCTTCCACCCCCACACAGCATGATTCGAAACCATCCAATCAAAATCACATCCGGTCATTGGGTTGTCAGCTTCACGTGTCAAAAAGCTCGCCTAAAATAAATCTCACCATACGGTCTTGCCGAGCTCCGGTGCTTGTGTTGCTACGATTTCGCTTTTTCTGAAACCTCCAATGAGGAGTTTTCGAATACTTGTAATGGAAAACCTGCCGTTTTTGAGGAATCATAACATGTTTAAGGAATTGTGCTAATGTAAGATCGCCAACGCTCTGTTTGTAAATAAACGTGTGCCCGGAAAACTGTAAACTGCTTTTGTTTACAGAGTAGCCTGCAGTGCAGGCGTATTTTGGGTCGGCGAAAGCTTGTTAATCGGATCGCTACGATGAAGCCGCCTTCTTTGATTCTATGACAGAGGAAGATTGAAGAGAGTAGAAATAGTAACCCTTACGGTAGGTGTGAGGGCAAAAAAAGAAGAGGGGGGAGGGGGAGGGGAGAAAAAATACGCCTGCACTGCAGGCTACTATCATGCCCAGGGCGGATAAACGTTGGGCGGTGAAACGAGCGCTCCGCTCTTCATTTAATGTGTGATGCGGAGTAGGACTGGCACGAGCGCTCTTTCCGCGCTTCCGGTGCGCTTGAAGGCCGGCGAAACTTTCCTTTTTGCAAACCGGAAATCCTATTTTCTTTCTGTAATTTCAGGCTACAATGTTAAATAGATAAATTCGTTTCATAACAATATCAATAAACAATTTCATATGTTTGTGTCTGTATGCCTATAAGTCAAACTTGTTGGTCGTATAATGCCAAAATTTGAGTTTAATTTGAAAGTGTTGAATACCTTCTCCTGCCACTAAATATCACCTAATCGTCTTTCGCCGTTTCGTTTGCAAAAGCTTAACACTTCTTAACCTCAATTTTTACATATGTTAAAGGGGGATAAATTTTATATAATATAACAAAAAATTAGATTGATATATTTTGATATAGTGGCGTTGTACTGCTTCAAACTTTGCTTCTCGGGTGCAACACGCCATGGCAATTCGCGCAATGCCTCGCAAATCCGGCAAC